CACACTTTGAAGCACAAAATCCTCGGAATAACACCACAAGGAAATTAACTGGTATACTAAAATAATGCAAGAGGATAAGAACAATGTATCTTTGAAACTGACAGCCTTAAAGTTACGTTAAGACCATACAATCTCCAATATTCTAGTATGAGAATATTGTGTTAAGAACTGATTCGCGTTACACAATTTCTTTAAGCATAGGAACACACTCTTCATCTTCAGTTTTTCTATGTGAGTGCTAAATATTTTAACCTCTCTCGTAACAATAAACTGCATATAAATTTACTAATGAATATAAAAATGTAATGTATGTAAAATGAATGTAAAAATAATAATGAATGAACAGTGACCCTGAAAATCGGCTGCTCCATGACCTCCATTCGGCGACCAGGGAAGGGTAGCGGCTTAGTTGCAGAAATATACATTTCATTCATTCTTTTGTTACGTTGGAGATTTTAAAAGTAAAATCTTCCTTTTCTACGTCACTAAAAGGTAATGTACATCTGAGGGGTTTGTGTAAAATCAAGCATTTTGTACTCTACTGTGCTCCCTTTTCTCACACAACTTAATAGAAAGAATAAATAGACGTAAAATCTTGATACAGTTATTTCATCTTTATGGGTGATGTTACTCATACCTAGTGTATTATCCAGCTCCAGTCAGCGAAAGGTATCTGATCACTTTGTCAAAATCCTCTTCACTGTTTACATCTCTTCTACGAACAATTTCGTCAATTATCTAAAAAAATCATAGCCTCACTAATACTCCTTGAGCTCTTTTGCAGGTGGCTGTAAGTAAAGTTACTGCTTAGTCCATGGTAATCTGACTTTCCTGCTCTCTATGAACCTTCTGCTCTGAAAATACTGTAGGAATAGACTTCGGTAAACCTTAGAGAAAGTTATTTTTGGCTAAATTGGATTAAATTTTTTTTTGAAATCAAGACGTGACCGGGTTCGGAAATATGCGTCAGTGTTCAATACACAACTATATTTCCAGCTTTGATACATTGTTTGTGTTCGATAGTGAACAAAAAATACACAATCCTTTAGTCTTTAATTGTGCGAACAAAAATATATCAAACCTGCTGTTGGGCATCGCTTCTGCTGATCTTCACTTATACCATATTCACCTTGCTATATGTCTTGTCGATTTACAATATCGCTTAATTACTCTTGAGAGCTTGTACCGCAGTTTAACAGCTTAAAAAATCTACTTAGTATTATCCTCTGTTTCTATATGTTTACACAATCCAGCTAAATCTTCCTTTGCAGTCTGCAATTTGTGTCTTAGTTACTTGTGCGAGATTTTTAATTTTCCCTTCACCCTCTCTGTAAGTTTACTCTATAATCAGAAATTTGATCTCTTCGCCACGCTAATTTTAGCAACACTAACTATAAGCACTTAGTCCTCAGTACCAAATAACAGCAAAAGGACCTTATTTCACTTGAGTACCTCATTTCATTGCGGGATCCTTACTCTTCCCAACAAAGGAAAGATGATGGTTACAGTTGAAGTGAGAAATGCGGTAGTGATAAAGTCTCTAGTATATAAAGTCTAAATAACGTAAACAAAGTCTGAAGTAAATAAAGTCTAAAGCGAATAACTTAAACAAAGTCTGAAATAAATAGTCTAGTCCTATGGAAAAGTTCCCTGCTGACACGACACGAATTTATACAAAATATTTCCAATTGGTACCAGCAAAAGTATTTTTTACAAATGGTGCTTCCAGACGAGATTATATCATTCAGGTTGATTTTATTCTTCTCCTGACCATCGTAAATTTATACGACTGTATTAAGGCTGAATAACATTGCGATTACAGGCCCTGTCGAAATAAATCGAGGAAACTCCAGCAAACGTACCCAACCCGTTATAAAAGGGGAGGAGGAAGGGCTCGATCGACCCAAGCTCGAGAAACCGATGCTACTCCTCCTCACTGACAGCCCCGCCCCGGCGCTGTAAATGGAGCTGCTGTGTCAACAACGAACCCATCTATAAGTGTTTGCTTCTAGGGGCCATATATACACACAAGTATATGTACGTGCGCGTGCGTGCGTGTTTATATATATATATATTATATATATATATATATATATATATATATATATATATATATATATGTATGTATATATATATGTATATATATAAATATACACATATATGAATACATACATACATACATACGCACACACACACACACACACACACACACACACACACACACACACACACACACCATATATATATATATATATATATATATATATATATATATATATATATATATATTATGTGTGTGTGTGTGTGTGTGTGCATGTTTCTATCTATCCATATATGTATATATATATATATATATATATATATATATATATATATATATATATATATATATATATATATACATAGTGTGTATGTGTCCTTGTGTTAGTGTGTATGTATATACACATTTTCGTACAAATAAAATGTGTCTGCAATAAACCAAAGACCTCTATATATGATT